GCGCGGCCAACGCCACGCGCCTTCATTCCGAAACTTTGATGGGTGAAATAAGAGGTTATATCTCAGATCAGGAATCAAGAAAAGTTCAACAATCAGGAGACGAAAAAAAACCCTGCTAGTCCTTTTGATCTGACGAGTTTTCTGAGTAAATCTGGTAGAAGTAAAGGAAGAGTAGAGGTAGCAAAGAGAGGGAGAGTTTGTAAGAAGTATGGATAATGCACATAATTCTAGTACTTTTTCCCACGTATGGCATTAACAATCAAGCCAGTGTATCAGCGAAGTCCATGAATGTTTTCTACATGTTGGGAGAGGCTCTCACTTCTCTTTAGATCAGAAGCTAGTGCAGGTCACTGATTTTCTAGTTTCTTTTACCTTGATGCGAGAAATGATACAGAGCTTTACCTCGGATCATTGCGGGAGAACTTTCGCTCAATTCCAATGTGCAATGGAATATGAGAAACAATGTCTCAAGGAAAAACGAGCTCTTAGGAAGGAGATAGGCTCAAGCAGCAAAAATCGCCAACCTTCCACTTCGGGCGAGCTTCTCCTGCTCTTCGGCATCTTTCTCTTCTTTCCATTTCTTGAAGTTTTCGTCTATCCATAGCTCTTGTGCCAGCATATCTTCATGTTCAGCTTCACTCATGCACTGTAATTGTCTTGTTTTGAGAGGAAGTCGGAATATATTTAAATAGTAACTGAGTACTCACGTTGAATTGGCTTTCACTAAGTCCAAGATATTTACGTATCAAATACAGCTTAGCAACCTCATCATATTCTTCTCGCTTTATCCAGTACTTGAACACCCATTTGACGTACCATGCGAGGTAATTGAAAAGCGTATATGGCAGAATGATACACTGCCACATGAGTGTATCATAAATCGATTCCTTCGCATAGCCGCCTCTAAAATTCCAGCTCAATAATCATTCATGGATGATCCAAAGAATACCTGACGTCCATATTCTCTTCGATGATGCTTCTTATAATATCTTCATTATTCTTTCCTCGGATCTTCTTCAACTTTCCTTT